TCGATGGCAGTTAACGCGATGGATACAAATACTGTTAATTATTATAATTTTAAGATGAATAATGTTCAAATTTTAAGGACATTTTGGAAATGGAGATTGATAGGTTCAAACTCGAAATTCAATCTGGGTGAAAATATGAGTTTCATTTCAATAGTTATGTATTCGAGTGCGTCATGGGTGCGTCAGAGATGCATTAAGAGTGCTACGACTTCATCTTGAATATGACATGAGTGCGTCATGGGTGCGTCAGAGATGCCTTAAGAGTGCGTCGCGAATGCGTCACGACTTCAACTCTAGTGCGTCATGGGTGCGTCAGAAATGCAATAAGGATGCGTCACGAGTGCGCCACGACTTCAACTCTAGTGCGTCATGAGTGCGTCACAGACGCCCTAAGAGTGCGTCGCGACTTCAACTCCAGTGCGTCATGGGTGCGTCAGAGATGCAATAAGAGTGCGTCGCGAGTGCGTCACGACTTCAACTCTAGTGCTTCACGAGTGCGTCAGATGCCTTAAGGGTGCATCACGAATGCGTCAGATGGCTTAAGGGTGCGTCACGAATGCGTCAGATGGCTTGAGGGTGCGTCACGAGTGCGTCAAATGTCTTGAGAGTGCGTCACGAGTGCGTCGGATGCCTTAAGGGTGCGTCACGAGTGCGTCGGATGGCTTAAGAGTGCGTCACGAGTGCGTCGGATGCCTGAAGAGTGCGTCTCGAGTGCGTCGGACGCCTTAAGGGTGCGTCACGAGTGCGTCGGATGCCTTAAGGGTGCGTCGCGAGTGCGTCAAATGCCTTGAGAGTGCGTCAGATGCCTTAAGGGTGCGTCACGAGTGCGTCAGATGCCTTAACAGTGCGTCGCGAGTGTGTCACGCGTGCGTCACGATATAGCAAAACAAGTTAAACCCAGAAATTTGTCAGATTCGAACATTTCGCGACAACCTATGCAAACGTCTCTCGATTCCGATATTTTCTAAATAAACGACTAAGCCGTCTCGGCCATTAATATCGATGTCACGATATAATTTCCGTTAATGGGAAGCGAGAAGTGACCGCGTGTACCAGGTCTGAAAATATTCCCGATTGATGGGCACTTTGCGCGAACAATAGGTTAAACCAGCGTTCCGGTGATTAACCGTACATACTGTGTCGCCGGCGACGAGTTTGCCTCGAATTTATCGGATTCGAGGGGACGGGGAACAGTGAACAATGAAATCTATTTTGGGAAACTAATTCGATCGATTACCGTGCATGTTTGTTGATCTTTGATGGTAGCTCTGGATGGTGGACAATGAATCCAGATTAAATAACGTTCCATCGAATCACGGGGAATTTAATACTCGCATTCTTTCGAGCTTCCACGGTGCTGGTAGCTGACTTGGAGTCGCAATTGACGGACATTTTCTTTGTTTACTGACATCTTGTTGACGGGCCTTTCTTTTTATTTACTGCCATCTTGTTGATCTGATGTTTTCTTTATTTACTGCCATCTTGTTGGACCGACATTTTGTTTATTTACTGCCATCTTGTTGGACCGACATTTTGTTTAATTACGGTCATCTTGTTGGACCGACATTTTGTTTAATTACGGTCATCTTGTTGGACCGACATTTTGTTTAATTACAGCCATCTTATTGAACCGGCAATTTGTTCATTGACGGCCATCTTGTTGACCCAGCATTTTATTTAATTACGGCCATCTTATTGGACCGACATTTTGTTTAGTTACAGCCATCTTATTGAACCGGCAATTTGTTCATTAGCGGCCATCTTGTTGACCCAACATTTTGTTTAATTACGGCCATCTTGTTGGACCGACATTTTGTTTAGTTACAGCCATCTTATTGACCCGACATTTTGTTTAATTACGGCCATCTTGTTGACGGCCATTTTGATAATTGGCGGCCATCTTGTTTAGCGTCAATCACCCTTCAGAAACTTCAAGACAGACGCTAACATAAAAGATGAACAAGTGCAATTGCACGCCATTAAGCAGATAATGGCTAACGTACGGCAAATTACTTTGAGCGAAGTTAACGAATTAACCTGTCGAGTCGAAGTTAAACCGTGTAAGTGAAGTTAAGCGATCGTAGAATAACCTAAATCTGCCGTAAGCAGGTACATAAATTATGTTAAAGTTCGTAGGAGGAAATGGGAATTCGAAGCAGTCTAAGCGCGTTGGAACGATCCGAAGCGTTTCGGGTCATCGATGACCTCGACTAGGTGTTGCATAACTTGGAGCACGCGATCTCGCCTCGTCAACTTTGTCGCCGATTCCGACGATCGATCGATTATTTACCGGTTAACGTTCGTCTCGGTTCACCCGAGAACCGCGATGCATTGCTCGAAACGTTCCACGGTTTCCCGGCGTGCTTCGGACCTGGAATTTTCATCGGGACATCGATCGATTCAGCCTTCGAAAATGGAACGCGCAAAAGCGCGTTCCTCTGTCATTTATTAGGTTGTTGCATAACAAATGGCCAATTTCGCATCGAAAGTCTAACGCGATTTCGTGACATAAAAGTGTCGCGGAACGACGCTTGTAGCATATCAATTTAAAGCTCGAAGCACGAGTGATTACGTAAACGTTTCGTCGATATTCAAAATTGCCAATTACAAACAACGAGCAATTTCGTTTAAAACGTGTTGATCGCAGTTTTAAATTCTCACCAATCGAAGAAGATAATCACGAAATTAAATAGATGGATCGTGAGACGCATAAATTTCTTTCATTTCCCTCTGGGTTTGCACTTTTAATTCTAAATATTTATTGTCGAATTAACCCGCTGAAATCGGTTATTCGATCGATGTATCAAGTGCGATTCGTGGACGTTAATTAATTAATCCTATTTAGGGGAGATCGACGTTTTTGGAGGTAATTTCTCAAACGTCAACTTCGCTCTTTCCGTCCGATAGCTGGTTATAATTCATCCGAATAGATTAACGTTCCTCTTGATACGTTTAATACGATTATGTTCCTGACCCTCTGATTTCACGCTGCAATTTTTCTGCGTAAAATTAAGAGATAGGACTTCTAATTGTTGCAATAACCATCTTAATTCCAAACCGATGGAATTTGAATTCCTCGAAGGGGTTCGATATCGCGCAAATTACCGGGAAATTTGCAAAGCGAAGCCCAAACCGCTTTCAGATGCGCTAATTATTGCATAACTTGGTAGTCCTTTGTTAAACAACGAAAGCGTCATCCTGTCTCTCCCCTGTTCTCGAGACGAGTATTCGATGTTGAGTACTCGAGGAAGCGTGAACTTCATCTTCACACTTCTCTCGACGACCCTGTTTCTATCATTTTTCCCTTTACTCGCTTTTCCGCTTCTTGTTTGTTTGTTTTCATACGTCGGTTTTCTTTTCACGTTGGCAAACTCGACGGCGAAAAACGCCTCAAATATTTGGCGACGCTCGTGTTTACCTCTCATTTATTCGCTTCTGGACCACCCTTTATTTAATAGTCTGTTGTATGGACATTGTTCTCTCGACATCGATTCCGTTTTACGATTCTTCGACTCTGATTTTCCTCGCTTCCGCCATAAATATTAAATTAACGGGACCCGTGTCTCGTGTACAGCTGCGCTTCCAGCCTGATTTCCTACCCGTTAAGCGACGAATAATTTTACACCGACTAATGAATTCGAAAACTTTCGAGTGCTGAAAATCGCATCAGAACTTTCGGAAAATTCGAAACTTTCTGCAACTTGCCGGAGAAAATCTCCACTCCGTTTTATACGAAACCTCGATACAATCTCCCCCCGGACGAAATTGATAATTACGTCTTATTAGTAAAATTTCTTCGGTTCAGCAATTTTTGACAAGTTGCTAACTAGTACTCGAAATTTAATCCCGAAGCAAATATCAATTATTTCTGTTATATAATTGTGTCACTGGATATAGACAGGTGATGTCAAGGGATTAAAAAATTTGACCTTACATCAAAAAATCGCGAAGCTTTCGAGAATAAGCATAAAGTGGCCTAACCTTTGCTTTGCCCGTCGTTTTCGTTGCTAATTGCTCGGTCTGCCATATTCATTTCCCATAGAAACCAGCCTCGAGTCGCCGAGGCGAAGAAGAGGCGGCAAAATTTTCCGGCTCGAACATCGCCACCCGGCGCAACGCTGAGATGGAATTTTAATTTCGTACAGTAAATACACAAAAAAGGAAGCTTAAACAACCGGTGTTTCAAAGAGAAGCCGTGGCAAATATTTGCACGACGGGCACGGTGGGAAAAACACATTCTGCGCCCTCTACAATTAACTTCCTATTAATTCAGGGTTCAACGATCTCGACGTTAATTAACGCTCGTTACGTCCTTTAAATTCTTTTTGTACGAATCGATTTTCGTTTGATCGAAAAGAAATGTGAGGAGAGGAACTCGTTGGGGAGCACTTGCGAGAAGGGAGTGTTACAACGACATCTGACGGTTTAAAAATTGAGTGTTGCTCTTTGATCGCCACGAAGGATTAATCCGACGATTAATCGCTTCGGTCGGAAACTCTAATGGATTATCACGAGCCCGTACCAGGATGAATCACCAGTTTCTTATAGGAACTGAGAGCAATTTTTATCGAATTTAGATAACTCGGTCAAGCACTCGAATCTTTCCAGAATTCGGGAGTTAAAGTACTCCCCAGAATTTCGTGAGGTTCCGAAAATGACCCAAATACCGAAATTACGATGATAATTCGTAGGACCGACGCCAGATGGCGCAACAACGGACGCCATTCTGGAAACTTCTTGCCCCGGAAAGGTCGAAGGTCAAAGGCTCCAGGGAATTCGAAGGCCGCAATTTTAATTCCGAACAGCTCACCGACTAATTAGGTTATGCAAAACAGTGGTTTTGTCGAAAAAGCTTTCGCACTGAATTTACATTTTTCAATTTCGGTTCCTGTTATTAAGTTGCGATGTTTGAATTGGGTAAGATGGATCGTTAAAAGTCGAAGGTGATGGAGACGTGTTTACGAAAACGTCAGCAAGAGTATAGAATTTCAAAGACTCACCCTTCATGCCGAGGACACACTTCTTCGAGGACACTTTGCTTCGATCGCTTCTCACACGCAACTACACGATCACTGATCTCGCGCACTGATCGAGGGATTCAGGAACATGAACACTCTGAAACGTAACGACAAATATTAGGAAAATCACTATTAACCATTTCTATTATTAATTTGTCAGAAGTTACTATTAACTGTATTAACCCTTTGCGCTCGAGAGGTGACTCACAGTCAACATTTTATTTAATACAATAATTTTAAATAAGATTCTATAACATGACACGTGTGATGAATAAACATAGTAAAACGAATAGTGAAAATTATTAGTAAAGAAATAATAACCTCAAGAAAATTCATTTACCTTTTTAACTGAGTTTTAAAGTTGCTGTTCGTAAACAGTCAAATTCTTTGAGTGCAAAGGGTAGAAATCAATAAAGAAAATTAAAATATTGTGACTGTACAGCGGTCTTAGACTATGTTCATTGACTATACAAATTAGCAAGACTCAATGAAATTTTTAAATCACTCTTTTGACGCTAGATGTCGTCGCAACACTCCGTTCTCGCTAGAGCTCGACAACGAGATCGTCTCCTCAGCCCAATTTCTATACTTGACTAATTATAATTATACTACGCTAATTATAATTGAACTTCAAATTGAAACGTATTCAAGTCGGAGATATTTGAAGTCCAGTAAGAGATATCTGAACCGTAAGTTACGAATCTGACTCGTCAAATTGCAAGGGGTTAAAGTATGAACTCATACAAGTTTCCATGCAGAAGACATTCGAAAAAACAGTCGAAATTTCAGCAGACAAAACAGAGGATAGAACAGTGTCGGAACGTAATGAAATTCCTGCAGGTGTCGCAGGAAGAAAGGAAATTCGATAAGACGACGTTGAGAGCCAGGTCTCCCTTTATCGTTGTTGTTCGAAGAAATTCCAGGGTCCCAGGGGTGGGCCAATTTACGAGCAGGCTTCCCATCCGGGAAAACTCGAAAATGAGCCGTCGTAATCGCAGTAAATTTTCGCCGTACTATTCAAGAATAGGCAGAGTTTCTACTTTTCTTCTTCTTTCTTTCTTTTTACGAGGCAATCGTCCCATAGATTCTTTCGGGTCGTCGTGATTTGTTACGCGTTCGATTTTGAATAAAATGACTCTACTACAACTTTCTGGCTGATGCTCATAATTTACCGTCAATTAAGACAAGTTTTCAGCTAACCATTAAGAAACTTGAAAGTTGCTGCAGAATATTAACTCTTGGCTTGCGTGGAGTTGGAGTTGCAGTTCAAATGTGACTCGAATGAGGTCAAATGAAGGGTCACATGAATGAGGTCATATACGTCGTATATGAATATCACATATGAATGAAGTAATATACAATAACCTGGTTTAGGTACAATTATAATTTAGAATCGCTGAATATGAAATTTATTTTAATTTTCTTTGTTTGAATACTGCAGCAATGGGTAGTGAGTGCTGTCTAATTTATCTGATATGTGAATCGTGCTGCAAGGGGTTAATTCTTAAATAAGGGGTTAATACTATCAGTTAGAGGTGCGTCAAGGATGCGTCAAGGATGCGTTGAAGGTGCGTCAAGGATGAATAGGAGGTGCGTCAGAGGTGCGTTAAGGATATGTCAAGGGTGCGTCAAGGATGAATAGGAGGTACGTCAAAGGTGCGTCAAGAGTACGACAGGGTACATCATAGGTGCGTCAAGGGTGCGTCAAAGATGCATTAGAGGTGCGTCACACGTGCGTCAATGGTGCGTTAAGAATGCGTTGGAGGTGCGTCATAGGTGCGTCAAGGGTGCGTTAAGGATGCGTTGGAGGTGCGTCAAGGGTGCATTAGGGGTGCGTCAGAGGTGCGTCAAGCGTGAGTTAAGGATACGTTGGAGGTGCGTCATAGGTGCGTCAAGGGTGCGTTAAGGATGCGTTGGAGGTGCGTCATAGGTGCGTTGGAGGTGCGTCATAGGTGCGTCAACGGTGCGTCATAGGTGCGTCAACGGTGCGTTGGAGGTGCGTCATAGCTGCGTCAATGGTGCGTTGGAGGTGCGTCATAGCTGCGTCAATGGTGCGTCAAGGATGCGTTGGAGGTGCGTCAAGGGTGCATTAGGGGTGCGTCAGAGGTGCGTCAAGGGTGGGTTAAGGATGCGTTGGAGGTGCGTCATAGGTGCGTCCAAGGGTGCGTTAAGAATGCGTTGGAGGTGCGTCAAGGGTGCATTAGGGGTGCGTCAAGGGTATGTCAAGGGTGTGTCAATGGTGCGTCAAGGATGAATAGAAGGTGCGTCGCGTGTGTGTCACGTGTGCGTCACAATATTGTAAGAGAAGTTGAACCTAGAAATTTGTCAAATTTGCAGTAAGTGCACTCTGACCCATCTGCTACGTGAATCATACCATAAGGAGTTAATCCTTAAATAAGGGATTAATCCTTACATGTTAATCATTCCTGAGAAAAAAAAATTGCAAAGATTCAATTCGAATTTATCGTAGTATAAGTTCCCGGTTGTCGTTTTATTCAACTCCCGATAACCGGTACAAAAGAAATCGATAATCGAATGTCTCGAGGGTTCCCTTTGAGCGTCAATTAATTTTCCATCTGAATTCCCGCTCGCCCAGCGTGCAAACAACCTCGGAACTCTAAAAATCAAGGGAAACAGAGCGGAAACGGACTACCCAAATTTCCTAGATTCAAGATCGAGAAAGTAACTCACCTGCGACGATCTCGGCGACAGATACTCCGCTTATCGAAAACACGTCACAAAAACACTCGGCACAACGTCATAGCTCGCGAATCACCACACGGATTATTTAATCGTGTCGAGGGTGAACCGCGACGCCCCTCGAATCCCCACTGTTCATCTTTAGCTTGTTCCACACTTTTTGCGCGGAATTCCGCGGCGAAACGTTCTTGCTACTCATCAAGACGTCCTCGACGATCCATCTCATCTCCAACGGGTTGCATTCATTCGGAACGCTGCAATCCCGTCGATATTCAAATTCTGCTTGAGCAAGGATTTATTTGCGAAAATAAGATATTCTGGAGAGAGGTGGAGATATTCTAAAGCTGTGGATGTTATATGGAAAGCTGTGGATTCTTCGGAATCGTTTTAGGGAAATTTTCTTATGGGATCTGAAGGATGTGGTTATTTTTCTGAGGGAACATTGTGATGACCTTCGAGAACATAGAGTCGGGCTATCGAAAGTATGTGGACACTTAATGAAATATTCTACAGAATCGTTTTAGGGAAATTTCCTTATGAGAACTGAAGGATTAGGTCATTTTTCTGAGGGAACATTGAGATGACCTTCAAGCACATAGAGTTGGCCAATCAAAAATATGTGGACACTTAATGAAATATTCTACAGAATCGTTTTAGGGAAATTTTCTTATGGGAACTGAAGGATCTGGTCATTCTTCTGAGGGAACATTGAGATGACCTTCGAAAACATAGAGCTTGCCAATCGAAAGTATGTGGACACTTAATGAAATATTCTACAGAATCGTTTTGAAGAAATTTCCTTATGAGAACTGAAGGATTAGGTCATTTTTCTGAGGGAACATTGAGATGACCTTCGAAAACATAAAGCTTACCTATCGAAAGTATGTGGACACTTAATGAAATATTCTACAGAATCGTTTTGAAGAAATTTCCTTATGAGAACTGAAGGATTAGGTCACTCTTCTGAGGGAACATTCAGATGACCTTTAGCCTGCCTCTCAAATGTGGACACTTAATGAAATATTTTACAGAACCGTTTTGAAGAAATTTCCTTATGAGAACTGAAGGATTAGGTCCTTCTTCTGAGGGATCATTCAGACTGCCTCTCAAAAATATATAAACATTTAATAAAATTTGTGATACATACTGTACATATTTGTTGTTAATATTCCTTGCTAAATTCTAAATATATATGTAATATATAACAGTACTAAATTAACAATTTATACAATTTTCTTGAATGCCTAAACACCTACATGATCTGTGAAAGACTGCATTATATTCCCCGTAAGCAATGAAGTTTGCAACTCTTCTCTAACAGTCCACATGTGATTGTTTCAGTCCACAATCCAACAAACGAACATCGTTATTCTAACAAACGCCCATAGTCCCCCCGGTAAAAATCGAAGAAAAACCGTGTAAAATGAAAGGAGAGAAAGGTACGAAAAGCAGAGTTTAATCCGTGCTCGATCCGGGATCTTAAACACGCGACCAGGTCAAGGACGCGAGTTGAACTTGCTTTTTCAGCAAAGCAGAGCCCGCAAGGAGAGAGTCGTTAGTATTTAGCTCGGGGTGAAGAAGACGAGAAAGACGAGCCGAGTTGTTTCACGATGGACTGGGGGGTTGTTTCAAAGAATTCTGAAGTGCTGGTCGAATGTTGCGGCTATTCGAGCCTCGAGGACTCCTCCGCTACCAAGGACGGAAACTTCTTTTCACCGAGTTGACCCTCTTTTTTCCTTCAAATCGTATTTCGTCCCTGACTTCCGCGGAATAATTACTCGAGTGTTTAATTAAATCCGGCTCTTTTCGACGGAATTATCATTAGTAAACTTGATCGTGGTGAGAAGGCGAATCGCGTGAAGTATGTGGACTTAACGGTTGGGGACATTTAGGTACTCATTTGGGTACATTTAGGTACTCATTTAGGTACATTTAGGTACTCGTTCGTGTTCTTATCGGAAGGGAAGATGAGGCGCGATGGGACGAGTGATGGGACAGGGATGAAAGTTGAGATAGAGTAAAATTTGTGGACAAAGTTATTGTTTATGAAATACAACAAGGTTCAGGTTTTGAGCATAAGGCAAGAGTCAAAAGGAACTGAAAGTCGAATCGAGTGCAATGTAGACATCTACCATTAATAACATCAAGGTTCATTAAGGTACCTTCGTGTTTTTATCGGAAGACACATCGAGATGAAAGTCAAGGTTGAGTAAAATGTATGGACGAACTTATTGTTCATATAACACATCAAGGTTTAGGTCTTGAGCATAAGGCAAGAGTCAAAAGGAACTGAAAGTCGAATCGAGTCACATAGAGTACAATCTGAACCTCCATCATTAACAGCAAGGTTCATTAAGGTACCTTCGTGTTTTTATGGGAAGACACATCGAGATGAAAATGAAGGTTGAGTAAAATGTGTGGACGAACTTATTGTTTATATAATACATCAAGGTTCAGGTTTTGAGCATAAGGCAAGAGTCAAAAGGAACTGAAAGTCGAATCGAGTCACATAGAGTGCAATATGGTCCTCTATCATTAACATCAAGGTTCATTAAGGTACCATTCGTGTTTTTATCGGAAGACACATCAGGATGAAAGTCAAGGTTGAATAAAATGTGTGGACGAACTTATTGTTCATATAATACATCAAGGTTCAGGTTTTGATCATAAGGCAAATAAGTTAAAAGGAACAGAAAGTTGAATCGAGTGTATTAAAATATGTGGACACCTTCTGTTATTAATGGAGTACATCAAGGTACTCGTTCACATTTTCTAAAACTTGTCGAAAGAAGTCAAAGCGAACTGAAAGTCCAGATCAAACTGAGTGTACCTAAATATGTGACACCTCTGTTATTAACGAAGTACATCAAGCTACTCGTTCACAATTTCTAAGACTTGTCGAAAGAAGTCAAAGTGAACTGAAAGTCCAGATCAAACCTAGTCTATCTAAATATGTGACACCTCTGTTATTAACGAAGTGCATCAAACTACTCGTTATTCTAACGAGTACATAGTCTAAGACTTGTCGAAAGAAGTCAAAGTGAACTGAAAGTCCAAATCAAACTCAGTCTACCTAAATATGTGACACCTCTGTTATTAACAAAGTACATCAAACTACCCATTCACATTTTCTAAAACTTATCCAAAGGAGTCAAATAGAGTCACATAAACTACATAAACAACCTATCTTATTGTCCATAAAGTATACGAAGCTTTTGACCATAAGAAACGTCAGAAAGCGAAGTAACGCAAAATGTATCAATCCCAAAAACTTTGCACCAAGGAAAGCGAAGAAGGGTTTTCCGAAGGGCATAAAGCGAGACCACTTGTCGGTCGTTGATCAAGAGAGAATACTCGAGGAATTTCTCGAGGGTTGTCCTTTGAAGCGAGAATTCCTTCGAGATCGCCTTGCCGTTTGTCTTTGACAATAATCACCCTCGACTGTTCCGTTTCACAGCTTACGATTCTCGTCTTGACTTTTCGTCGCGTCTATCGTAAACGTTTGTCCCTTACTCTCTTATTTTCTCAACTAAAATCCTCAAATTAGGGAACATGAACCTTCTTGCAAGAAAAACAGTTCGCGAAATAAAAATCCAAAATGTTTCATCTCGGTTTTCAGGAAGAAACAAAAGAAGAAAAACAATCTGAAAATGCACCGCGGTATTCTCTCGCTGATTGAAAGTAGTTTGTCAGCGGTCCATCAGAAAGATTGCTCGAAAGTGGAGGATCCGGTGAATCATTTTTAATACCGTGAAATCTTCGTCTCTGGAAACAGACTACTTTTCTTATCGAAATCGCTGGGATCGTGAGGGGCACTTGGTTTCATTTTTTATCGCGCTTTAATTCTATCTGAAATGACACTTTCTATTTCCCTTCTCTTATGTGTGATTTTGTACCTTGGTTCCTTTACTATCAAGCAAATACCTCGAGTAGAAAAATCGAGGGTGTGTCTTAGATCCAGACTGATCACATTCGAGTAAAATTTCTCACAATGGCACCCATCAAGGTACTTTGAACCACCCACGATCTTGGCGATCTACGTCTCGAATGGTTTCAGGTTTGAATCAAATTTATTCGCGGGAAGACAGGTGACAAAGAAAGTAAAAGAAAGTATACCGTTGTATCGTAATCGAAGTACAAAACGCGTCGAGTCGAGAAGCGTCGGTTCACCTCAGATTATAAAATATCGCGTGACCGATGTGGAAGAATGGCGCGAGTAACGAAAGCGTGTTCGGTAGCGCGCGCGCCTCGCAACTGGCCTCGGGTCTCGCGGGGCAAACAGTAGCGCTCGTTCGAGGGGTTGACCCAGTTCGAGTCAGGGCCGGAGAGTGCGCGCTACGGACGCCAGCACGTCGCGATGCCTACTGAACCGACACGACGCTCGCAGCTCGACGCTCGTCGCAAAAAC